ATGTGTTTTTAATAGCATATATGTTTATTCATGTCATAATTTTTTGCACCTTTTAAACAAATTAAATAAGCAAAATGCGGATATGGTAGATGTGTCCTGGCGACTTGCGCTTTGCGCTTGCTAGTTTTTTCTGCGCAGTCTTCCATAATTTTTATTGAGCACAAACCTATTAGTAATTGTATTAGAAATATAAAAGCAAGTAAAATAATAAACTCGAAAAGAAAAAATATCCGGTAAATATTTTTCCATTTCTTTAATTTTATAGAACCCTCGCTTATTCAGGAGCAAAGGGTCATTAATTTTCTCTATAACATCTTCTGCTTTGTACCATATTTTATCTGGCTTATCTGGTCATCTGAAAGTGTCCTGCACTTAATTTAACTTAACTAATTGGTAACATCTATAGTTTTCTTGTTAGAAAGTATTTTTCTTAAAGGTTAATTTTCAGAGTCTGATTTCCCACTTTGAGCATATTTGGAGTCATCGCTTTCAGCATACTAAGCTTCCATGTCATCATTGTCATCATCGGAAAACAAATCTTGCTGCCTTATATTTGTCGTTAGTTTTTGTTGTTGTTTCTTTTCTGTAGCCATCTTTTCTTTTAATATTTTTATTTGTTTTATTAGATTTTTTTATCTTCTTCCTTTTTTCGTTTCATTTTCGTTTTTTTTCATGTAATATCTCCATTTTTCACTAGTTATAGCTGACAGTACACATTCCTTGGTACGCCCCTTCTTAGTTTCAGGTTTGGGCCAAAAAGACACGGTTAAAAGGTGACGGGATTACCCAGTCTTTTGATAATATTGTAGAGGTTGAATGATACGACACTGGTGAATTCGTTATAACATATTATGTGATGTAGCATATACTGTTGACAAAGATTGCTCATTGTTTCCTTGTCCAGTTGGGTGATCGATTTTTTTTGTCCTGTCCTTGTGCATTCAGTATTTGCGTATTCTGTTCTTGAACGTTCATTCTGTTCTTCTATGTTTTTTCTTTGTACATTAAAATTTGGTGCTTGCATTCTGTTTATCAGTGTCCACTTTTATATTCTGTCTAATTTCATTTAGTCCTTGTGTATTATTTTCTGTTGTGATCTGTACTTCCGCACTCTGTTCTTCTTTCCTGTTCTCTGTTCTTTTTTTGCATTCAGTTCTTGTGTATTCTGTTCTAGCCTGATCTGTCCTTGTGTGCTCAGTCTTTGTATGGTCTGTACTTGTGTATTATTTCTTTGCATGTACTGTTCTAGCATTTTTATTCTCAGTCCCAGTTATGGACAGGCAGTGATGGACATGGTTGTACATTACTGGATTACGCAATAAGTTCTTAAATATTTCAAGAATAAAACGTAACATATTACTGTCAGAATTCACAGAATAAAAATTATGGTGAATTTGTTCAAAAATCCAGTAATGAACAAAATGTACATGACTGGGTAGTAACATGTTAGTGTATCCAGTGTTAAACATAGCCTTAATTGTTTGTTATTCTTTCCATTTTAAAATTTGCAAGATTTTATTACAATTCTTGAACTACCTCGAAAACACGAAGTAAACAGACATTTAATAAAATATGTATAACTATTTCAGAAAAAAAGTAATTGTTGAACTAACCAGCATCACGATGCTTACAATAATTTAGGATTTATTCATATAAATGTCACAACCACGTTTTTGCACTCTTCCTGTGAACGAACAAAATGTCTCGCGTACTGTCAAACGAAAAACATGGCTTCGGTAGGGTCTATCACTCGTGGAGTAATAACTCTCAATACTCGTATAACTGGCAATATTATAAGAAATATTCAGTTTGGCTATTTTTAATAGATAAAGAATGAAATGTCCATCACGGTTGCACTGTCCATTACGGGTTCCGTTACCTTACCTATTTTTGATGAGTGAAAATATCCGAATTTGTGATTTTTCAAACATCTAAAAATTTTTAACGCAGTTAATATTAAATTTATCGTCAAAAGTCAAAATACTTTTTGTTTGTATTTTATCAAAAAATATAAATATATTGTTCCGTTTGTAAATAACAATTCATGAAAAGTATGTTCCCAGCTTTAGGCTTCGTTCTACGATCTTCCTTTACAATATTCTCCTGCAACGCCATACACGTTGTTAAAACTTCGATTACCTATCCATTCAAGAGAGAATATGAATTTAGAGATGTGCCAAGAAACACGCTCCTAAGCCTCCTACATATCTTACCAAGTCATCGTCATATCTAGTAGATGCCGCCCTACAATTCGCTTATCTGTAAACGGCTACCAATTTTGTAATTTGATTTTTAGTGTAGAGTTATCAGCTTACTGATCCGTTAAATAAAGGCTACTACTCTGGGTTTACTCCGGATATCTTTATTACGAATAATATCACGAGTATATCTCTCAACATTGCTCATAGAGATCAGAAGTTTGCTCATACGGCCATAATTTAATAACCACGTCTCTAACCCACAGGTCATCTCTAGCAATACGCGCTGGTATATATGAATACTTGGAATATATAACATTCTTGTATTCAGGTTTTGAGGAATATGTGACGAGAAGATTAGTTATTTAAGAAGTTATCAAACCTTACTTCGTTATAAGTTGCAATTAACATTTACGATCAAACTCTGTTACTACGTGAGCCGTTCACTACGCGAGTCTTAGTAGCACAGTCTTAATTTTGTATTAATATTGTGGTTGTGGTAAGGGGATAAGCGGCTGCCTTAGAAAAACAAAATGATATTAATTATTTATTAAACACATAGGTAGAGTTACATTTTTGTTCATAAATCTTAAGTAATTTAACAATTGATTGAAATTTCACACACTTTCCGAAAGATTGCCTAAACATTTTATATAATTTATATTGTCATGATTGATACATAATACATTGTTTGAAAAATGAAAATTTATTGTGAACATTTGACTAATTTAATCATAGCTTTATTAAGTTATTATTTCATATTAACACTACTTATATATAATACGTATGTGATACGTAGGTAATACTTGTAAAGCACTTAGCTTTGGTTTTAAAGATCCATAAATCAATTAACTTCATCACCATTACGACAGCCCGCCAAAGGTTTGCCATAGCTAACATGCTCGAGTTGGAAAAAGTTTTTTTCACTTTGAGTTGTAATCAGCGCTATTTCTACCTCATCTCCCGTTTCGTTTCATAGCTTTGCCTATTCCTTTTTAAAAGGCCGGCAACGCATCTGCAATCCCCCTGGTGTTGCAGCTGTTCATGGGTGACGGTAATCACTTACCATCAGGTGAGCCGTATGCTCGTTTGCCCCCTCTCGTATAAAAAATATGGCTTTGGTTTTAAATATGTATCAATGAACTTACTTTGTATTAAAATAATTGAACGAAAAAAAATTTACAGTACACGTTATATAAATAGCGGTATACGAATTTAGCATTATGAACGAACTAAAAAGATCATTTTGTGACAATGAAATATGTTTCTAACGACAAAAATAGTCACGTGAGTATTTTAACCGCTGCTTTATATATTTTAAGACAACCTTTTTTAAGGCAATATAAAGTTGACGCCCACATTCTATATTCTATCATGACGTCATGAGTAAACATAGAGTACCTACGCTTTTATATTATAAGAAAGCAAATGACAACAAAATTGTGTTATAAAAAAAATGCAATGCGATTGAAAACATTGTATCATTGTTAATTTTATTCTAACAAAGCGTTGGTCTATTCAGTCATGTTCTCAAGTTTTTTTTTGTAAAGAAACTTACCACAGTTAGAGATATAAAGCAGCATTTAAAAACACTTACAATGGTACATGTTTTATTTAAAAATTCAATTTAAACTAGTAATTTATTATGTATAAACAATGAAATTTTAAGTCACACGTTATTAATTGCCGTCGATAATTTTTATCAATAACCTAAATAATGTAATTATTTACACCATTTATAAATCTACTTGATAGTCGGAATTGTCTTATATGAAAAGAATATTCGTTCCTATATACAAATATGAAATAATTTTTATACGGAAATTATATTTTTTATTTTAAATTTACTTCATTTATACAAATAATATTCTCTGTTGAAATAAATTCTATAACAGATATTATACTTAATTGTATTTATATTATAATTTTAAAAATTTAAGATTAAAATAAATAAATATTCTAGTAATTTATTACATACTTGAACATTAACATTAATTAAAAAATTATCGATACATTGTAAATATGTTTCAACATAATATACCCTTACTGGAATGTATATCATTATCTTAGAAAAGATGAAACATTATAGTTAAATATAATATAATTGATACGTTGGTACAATTAATAATAATAATTTTGGTATCAAAATTGCAGATCTTCATTTTATAAGATATAAAAATTGCAATACATTTAAAAATCAAATTAGAAATATCTATTTAACTTGTATACATTATAGAATTTAATAATCAGGTTTACAAACGTTTCAAGTTCCCTATAGCACTACAATTCGAACAGATGTAGCCATAAGCATTCTTAGAGTAACATGTAGATATATGATGGATATTAAACGTATAATTTCTATGCTAAATATCGGATGTTTTGAATTTCTGGCAGTGTCTTACCTATGATCAATAAGTACTTGTAAAGTTTATAATAGTTCACTACTTGAATAACATTTTTGAATTGATGAGATATTAAAACAAACATTAAAGTATCTACTGGTAACTATAGAGATGTATAAAATACTATCAATTTTAATTTATTTGTAGGAATAACGATCTGAAATCTGTATGTTCTCTCTGTTCTGATTTAAATAAGTGTATCCCTGTATTTTGTCATAATGCGAACATTATTAGTTAATTTTGTAACATAATTGCATCAAGCGCCGAAAGCTTTTCGTTTTTAACATTTATATATAGTTTGTTGTCACCATCTTGCTCTTTTAAAATTATCCATTTACTTCACAATGTTGTTTTATATCAACAATTTCATATTTCGATTACAACTCAATTTATTTTAGATTTAATTTCCTAAAATTCTTACGAAGCCGTAGGACACCATTAGTAAGAAATATGTATATGCTAGACGTGTATTTTCGGCTCTACCTGTAGCACGTATATCACTTTCCAAAACAAAGGGTTCATCTATTACGTGAATGATACCGTTAGTGCATTCCACATCTGGTCTAAACACGTGAATCCAGTGTCCATTCCACTCCACGTAGTAATCTGGTAAAAATGCAATGTTATAAATTCAATAAAAACAACAATAGGTTGAAAGATTTAAAAAAAATTCTTTTGTAAACCTACTTTTGTCTGATTCTTTGACGCGCAATTTAAGAGGATCTCTGGTGGTTGGAAGAATAATGGGATGAGTTTCGTTCGCCAGGAGTTTTAAATCCGATACGGTATAAGCCCTACCAGCTCGAATTACGTGACGTTCTAAAATCTGCTTTGTCTGCAAAGTAAATCGGGGTTTTGTTAAAAGCATTTCTCTTTTAAAGTGATTATTTACATAACTTAAATATATACATTGTGAACCATAATTACGATGAAATTAAATAAAATTTCATAAAATGTATCTGTAAAAAATTTACTATTGGATATTCTATTTTTTATGCAAGTAAAGATTACAAAAGAGCACACGTTATGTCTACATCTAATTCTTAAGTAACCAGGCTTAAGAATCAGGGTTAAAATGCACATGCAATGTCACCCCGGATGGAATGAATTGCTCGTTACTGGTCGTACGAAAAACTCAAGCATTACAGCTGTTATTTTACGCTTGTATTTTTTTGAGTTTTATCTGTTTATGATCAAGGTCGGCCGAGTCAAACCATTCTTGATACAACCATAACACAACACAACCGCAATTCGTTCCAGTAAACAATTGACGTTACAGTAGTGCACTGGATAACTGTTTTACGGCGCCTCGGGTCCGCAGGTTAGAGTTCCATTCATAACAACTATTTGTATAACCCATACAAATTATTGTTCCGGGTCTTGATATTTGTATATGAACATTATATGTGTGTAACCCCTAACGTAAAACCCCACCACGATTTTAGTGAATATCCTTATTTTAGACAAAGTTTTATCTTTTTTTGGTGAAAAAGTATTTTTTTCTTTTAAAGTTTAAAATTACTAAAAATAATAAATCGGGTATAAATATTTACTCACGTAATAACCAAAGTCATCTCTAAAAAGTGCTTTATATGCTGAGGGGTGCCTTATTTGGAACTTAAGCCAAGCGTGGTCTCGTGGTACAAAATAAGTATATCTATGTTCCATTTCATTTAATTGATGATTAAACATTTGACGCTTGCCGAGATTGTATGTTATGCTGGAAATAGGAGCACAACAGACTAAATAGAATAATAATATAAGAAATATAAAAAAAAACTTAATTTTTATTAAAGAATACAAAATTTATTGTAGAAAACTTCCTACTTGAGCATAGGGTCCGTCTTTAACTTTTCAAATACAGTCGTGTAAGGGACTCCTAGAACTCTGTCGATTATATGTACAAATCCATTTGTAGCTGCTATGTTGGGTTGCGTGACTGTAGCATTTACTCCACCGCCTTCTACGGTTAATGTCTGATTCGAATTAGTATTTATTACATTGAAGTAAAGATACTTGCGTGGAGCGGCTGTCGGTGCTTGATATATCTAAAAAACAACAATTAAAAAGTTATAGATTAATTTATAATGTTTTTTTTTTCACAATCATTTCCCAGACTACATGTTTGGTTCTAGCTATCTTTTAACATGCATCTAGCTTAGTCAGATAAATTATAACAGGGTGAACAGAGAACATGTCATGCCGGCACACAATGACACTGATAACTAAACTAAAAGAACATTGAACGAATATCACATCTTATTGAGAACATAGTACGACTTATAATGATTTAACGTACAGATCCAGGAAGCTGTTCCAATTAGCAGCGAACCAAGAGAATGAAGTCGTAAATTTTTTATTAAATACATTTCCTTTGCCTGCCTTTAAAATAATTTTCTTAAATATGTTCTATTTACAACAATAAGAGTAAATATAATTACTGACCTGATTCATATTATTGTGAATGATGGCATCAAGCGGTAACCTCTCCCTCACTAAATGCAAGTTTAATATTTCCTTAAGCTTCTGTTGATTTCTGTAAAAGACAAGAAATTTTAAATGTCTTCTTTATAATGTATATATCAGTATATAACAAGAAGAACAGTAAATTAAGTTAATTTTTTTTCTAAAATTATTTTTTCATTTAAGTAGGTATTATAGGTAAATAAAAAATACCATGTAATAATTAAAACTCAATATATTTTCATTGTACGAATTAAAAAAAGTTAGAAAATAAAACTTTGACATTTGAATATCGTTACATAATTTTTGGCATAGAAAAGAATGTCCGTATGAAGCGAAGAGCTTTTGTTGATATTCAAACGCGGAAAACGTTACAGGCTTTTATTATAATACTAAAAGGTTACAGGACGTTATCAGTGACTAAGGTACTTAGTAAATTATTTGTTTATTAGCTTTAGCTCGCAATTTCGTGCGTTCGACAAAAATACTGACAGTTCTATAACAGCGGTTTTTGGGCAAGAATTTCAACTATACGAAAACACTGTCCACAGAGTTTTTGCTATTATCTCAGTAGATAGTGATCTCTAGAACTACGCGCGATATTAGGAAATTATTTCACACAAGTATTTATTTAAAATAAAAATTGAAGATCTATTAATTTTATGAATAATTAAGATCTAATCACCTTGTTCCTAAACACTCATAGTTTTTGTTGTAAAATGGTGTTCATGTAATGGAGCAGAAAAATTGTTAAAATTCAATTCTATATCAAAATTTAAGTGTAAGGACGTTTTTGTTTCAGATACTCTAATTCTAGTTATATTAAGTATGTGTGATTTATTTATAATGAACGTTTTGTTTTATTTAAATGAACAGTTTGCATATTATATTTTATTGTTTTTAGAAAATGTAATATTAACTGAGTCACTACTCCCTACGTTTCAATTATTTTTATGTGGAATATAGAATAAGTTCTTGTTTACTATAACATTTGAATATTAATATAAGTGTGTGACACATTTATAGAATATCTCTCCTGCCTTACTGTTGTATCATACAACTAAACATTTAGCTATAGTAGTATTGAGCCATTTGTCGGATTAGAACATAGCACATAGCTAATTATTTTACTTCTACCCACTTTTATTAGTTTTTTTCTATTTGGTATGTATTTAATGGGGAGGGCTTAGCAGCTGCAACACGTTTGGATTCAATAAATATTATATATATATATATATATATATATATATATATATATATATATATATACTAATCTAGTAAAATAATTATAATTCTAAAGTGAATGTACAAGAGCACACTCGTGTACTGATCGCAACTGTTGTGCAATTAATGTAACAACGAAAAAAACATTCAAGACCGAAGAGATAAACATGTAGGCAATTTAAAAACAGCTGCAAAAAAAATTTAAAACTCCAACTAATTTCGCGACATGGACATTGGATCTTCAGTTCCTGTTGTAATATGGTTGTTCATGTTAATTTTTTGATCGTAGATTTAAGGTGCAGCTGGAGTGAACCTTGGGCCACCCTAAAGCCGCATACATTAATAATGATATAAAATATAATATTGAAAGAATTTAAATTTTTAATTTAAAAATTCAAAAAGTATAAGTTAAAAGTAGTTTTGACTAACATTCTTAGTCAAAACTATACGCTTATAATTATTTCCCTAATCATATGCTTATAATTTTTGCCCTAAATTAGTCTAGTAAGGTACCTAGTTATATTACTAGGTCGTGCTTTGTATCATAGTTATATTAAGGTATATAGCTATACCTATATCCGGTAGAACCTATATATCTTTACCACGGCTTCAACTTATTAAAAATGATAGGTCACAGTAACTATATACTCTGTCTTAATACAATACCTTAAGTTATTTTTGTTTGTTCTATACATTTAATGCTAAAGGAACAAACAATTTGAATGTTTCGAAAAACTGATTTTGATTGTACGTATATTTATGTGAAATTTTGTAACAAATGTTTGTGTATTATTTTTCTATTCGAATAACAGTTTTATAAACGTCGAGATAAAGAAGCCAGTTAAAATGTGTTAATGCGTTTTATTACAAAATTGATAAAAATATTAATATAGTTTTACTATTTTATATTTATGGTAAAAATTAGAATACGTGTAAAATAGGTTTAAATTAGCTGAATAAATACGAAAGCTTTATTAGAATTGTACAAACTCATTTTTTGTAAAAATGAGTTTGTTTGTTTAAACAAATAAACATTACTAAATCATATTTAAAAAAATATCATTTGACTATTTTCCAGCTCAAAGTGGTTCCTTAATTCAAACGTTTGAATTTAAGAGCCACCTTTTCTTCCTGTAGCCTTGCTACTACGTTAATATTAGAGGTAGTATTCGCGTTCTAACAACAAAAATTACTCCTCAGTCCATACGGCACTATAAAATTTATGGAAATTTAAAAAGAGGCCAAACCCACACAAGTACCTGATAAGATTTTGCACAGTGATCTCGTCCCAAGCTTCATTAGAAGGTGCGAACAAAGTTATATCCTTTGCCAAAGTTAGCTCATTCAGGAACTGATTATTTTCACCTAAGTCCATTATCACCTCGTAGAACTTGCAAAGTGGACCATCATCTTTTTCCTGTTATTAAGCAAATACTCATCACCTATCTCATTAAACAATGCAATCGTTCATTGATTTCAACCGCTGCTGAACATAAGTCTCTACATAGATTATCTCACAAGGCTTCAGCTTTAAACCTTGGGAAGCAGGTTAGCTGTCGCATTTTTTTATATGTTACGGGAAAGACACTACTAGCCTTGTGTCCTTCTGTCACCGTTTACGACACTTCCGACAATATAAAAGTATTTAATGGTTAGCTATAAAGCATCATCACTTGCAATTCCCCTTGTGAGGCAGTTGTTCATGGGCGACGGTAGTCACTTACCATCAGGTGAGCCGCATCCCCTATGCCTTTAATATTTAACTTAACTTAACTTATATAAAAAAGTAATATGTATAATTGGTACACCAAAGGAATATTTTATTTTATTAAATATTTAATAAGAATAATGTTATAATTTTGATTCAATAAACTTTATGTTATTAATCAGTTTATGTAAAAATAATGTTAAACGTAATGCATTTTACGAAAGAAGCCTAAATTGCATTAATTATAGTGTAAAACGGCAACCATTTTACCACGTTTTTAGAACTGAGCTATATTAAATTTTCAAATCTCTTACTCATCCGTAAGTTAGTTTAAATAAATTGTTAAATTTGTACCGAATAGATAAGAGAGCGAGTTATCTAATTAAAAAAAATGTAAAAACGTAGTAAACAGCATGGGGAAGTTAAGAATCTTACCTTTACTAGACATTGTACTAATTGTTATAAAATCGAAAAATAGGGTATGGAACAAGTGTTGTAGTGGAAATTCTACAAAAATATGAGGATATGCTACGTGCATCGATACTTACAATACCCTAAAGATGGTAATTTCGTGCAGGATCCATAAGGTAGGACGAACAAATACATGAAAAAAAGTAACAATTTTTTTAAAACACTTATGAATGTTATGTACAAAATTTGATTCAATGATCCTACAACTACAAAGAAAATTGTTTTGGTACCGTTAATTTTAATTCTAAACGCAAGGCACTCTCTTTGATTCTCCGCACTACTGGGTTTTGTACCTTTTATGGTGAAAACATTTTTAATTACATTAAAACAGAAATGACTTACAAAATAAATAAGTTATTCAATTGTGCTTGTGGTTTAAATTTTCAAATCGAAATAATTTTATATTAAAACCATTGAATTATATGTGCGTAGTACATATATTATATCGATGATTAAAACAGTCATAAACTATAAACTAACGGTCCACTATTTGAAACAATCTTCATATTACTCACGTGATTTTAAAATTAATTGTACATACCTTTTACATCTCTTGTAAATGTAAAAAAATGAAGTAATAACAAAACAGAATCAAAAAATATATTATTATGAAACATATTTAGCTTTCAGGTGCATGAATGAATACAAAATGACAAACAACAAAGATGTATACGACGACAATGATAAATTTTAAAATGTATTAAAATTTCTATTCAAGTGAAATGGTATTTTTTTATAAAACATGGCATAGGTGTATAATGTAATAATACGAAAATGCTTAAATCTATAATACTTTGAAATTTAAAGATCAATTCAAACGTGCTAAGTATATTCTCGTGACCTACAAATAAAAAAGAAAAATATTTCAAGAGGAAAAACAAACACTCACAAATATAAAAAAAACATTTCGGTTTTACCTTCATTGCCTGGTTTCCACATAAATGTAGCGATAAGTTAATTATTTATAAGTGGCAAGAACAGCTATATAAAAATTTTGTAATTTTGCTAAATCGATACGAATAAAAAGTGAATTATGGTAGAAATTAAGTAAAGTATATATTGAGCTTAGAATAATTAAGAAAATGAGGTTATTTCGATCAAGTGATGATGGTGTATTAATTTTTTTTTCATGTGTTCTCATAACATTGTTTGTTTGTTTGTTACATGTTAGTGTGCGCAAATAACGGAACTTTACTGTCAAATATTATGCGAAAAGATTTTCTTCATGTATCTTTAATCTCATGATTATACATTTCCTTTTTGATAACTGTTGGCTGTTTTATATGGTATTTTTACAACAGTAACACAAAACATTTAATTAATATACAGGCGACCCCCGGTAATCCGATCCCAGTCTAATCCGGCACCCCCTGTAATCCGACATTATTATATATTGAATTAAATTATATTTATTGAATTATGGTTTGAAAATCTTCATTAATGCATGATTGAAAAAGTTATAACTTGTACACAACACCACGATTGTGCTCTAAGCGTAGGGTATTGTTTTGATTCTGATTGCTTACTTTGAATTTGACATAATGAAGTATCATTTGTACTTCAGAGTACATATATATAACATATAGAATCTTATCACTTGATCTGTATTTTGTCAGATTACAAGGTACTCTTTTGTAAAAAATTCCGGACTACAGGGTCTTTGGTTGTACTCTACTCTATAATCTGACAAATTGGATAGTTCGACACTGCCCTGCAAAATATTTGTCGGATTACCGGAGGTCCACTGTATTGGTAATTGTATTTATAAAATAAGCTCCGAGATAATATAGTCTATTATTTTCAGTAGAATATTTATGTTTCAATAACTTTAAATACTATTATACTTAATATTATAACTTGCCTTTAGGAAATCAATCACTGACGTATCAACCACCATCAGAGGTCTTTGTATGAGGTGAACGACGCCGTTCTTCACTGGTATGTTAGCTCTCACAATATCAGCAAGTACCACGCCGCGACTGTGTTTCGTGTCACCAGCCACCGTGTTAGATTTGACATATGCTAAAAAAGTAATTTTAATAAAAGCTACCCTCTTATATATATATATATATATATATATATATATATATATATATATATATATATATATATATATATAAACAGTGATGCAACTTCATAAAACTTTTTGGTTTTTGATATTCAGGAAAATTGTTTTCAGTTTGTTTTACTTACTAATCTCTTCTTGGCCATTTACAGCAGTGCTAAATGAAATTATAACTTTTACGTTATCACTAAAGGCCATACTTTCGAATTCTTGACTATCGGGCGTTGCTTTAGTAAATAATACATGATGGGGTATAACATGGCCATCTATGACTTTTTCATCTATAAAATCAGACCTGGCTGTTGGCTGGAATATAAAAATAAATATATTTTAAAACGTACGACCTAAAATTCCAATTATGTTGCGCAAGTAAAAGAAAGGTAATAAAATTGTTAGAGAAGCTACAAAATGATAAAATGAGCTTCTAAGAAAACAGAAATTTTAAAAGGAATCTCAACTTTCATACCTTGAATCCTTCATCCACGGGAATGAAAAATGTGTGCCTTCCGTCAGCGTTGAAAACTTCTTTCTTTTGAAGTTGATATACTTTTTGCCGAAAAGACCTTTGAAATAGAATATTTTTTATAGATTTTGTGTTAAAGCGACTTTCTATTAAATAAATACGATCCAATGATGTATTTTAAAATGGACATGTTTTATTAAAAATAAATGAGTCAAAATTGGTATAAACGAATTCAAGTGATGGTTTTCAATTTATTAAAGAAATAGGCATATTAGTAGTGACTACAACTGGAATCTTAAGCTTCAAAAGAAAGATTTATTCTTCACCAGTTCATTAAAATTCTTAAGTTCAATAAAACTGTAACTTATTTTGAAATCTTGTTGTAGGTAATTGAAACACGCCAACGGATAATTACGTTAAAGTTTCTACCGACTCCTTTGTAATTTTAGTCAGATTTTTTAAAATTCTATTATATGCTTTCTTTGAAAATTACTTTCTCATTTTTTACAGATATTTATCGCCTTATTTTATATTCCCGAAGCTTCGGGAATTTACATTTTAAATTTTACAGCATTTATGGTCACGGGGGGAACTAAGGAATTCAACGTCACAAAGTCATAATTAATAAAGGCACTGTATTAAAACGGATTAAATCAATTTTTTTTATCCAATCTGCGCAGTATGAACTTAGAGTATCTTGGAGTCTTGGAGTTGAATGCTTGAGTTCTGTTTTATTAGTTAAAATATCCTAAGCAAAAGGTAGCATCCAACCATCTTCTATATTGAAATTAGGATGTTGTTTGATTCAATAGACTCGCGAATCATTCTTGGCAGTAATTGGTGAACTTTAGCGAGAATTTATGGTCTATGAAATCTGATGCAGTGACGAGGGCAACACTGTTAATGTGCACAGATTGCAGACTTCCCGAAAAGAAGTCTGTGAACACGTATAAGTAATAATTGTAATGTATATTTTACAATATAAAATGGTATATATGAATTATTTCATAATTCTTTCTAAAGTAAAATATTTACATCAATCTTGTTGAGAAACAACTAAATTATTAATATGCAAAATGCTTAAAAACATACCTTAATCTGTGCTGACCAATATTAAATACATCAGAATGTTCTAAAAATTGATACGCATTTGGGTTATAGACAGGTGTGCTTGTAGAAATTGGACCGTGTGGTTGTAGAGGCTGAAGAACTTGATCTATTACGTGTAAAACCTACAAAAAGTAGCATATTATCAAAAAAGTAGAAGTCTAGTACTGATCACTGAAACATCCCTAGATGTTGTCGATTATCTGAAATAAAGGTGCTATGCTTCAAATAAACCTAGTAAATCAGCAATGAACAAACTATATGTATCACTTCTTCAATATTCAACTTGACTCGATCATCAGTTAGGGCGTATCGGGTTGGTTGGACAGTTTAACTGAGTTCGCCCAAAAATAGCCGGAAACAGTAGTACCCCAATCAAAGCCATTAATTTTATTTCATTTACATATAATGTAATATAAACCAACTATCAAAACAGGATGAGAAAAATAATTCAGTCTAAAAAAAATACATTTTTAGCGGATCTTCTGAAAGCGGGTGGAAGACCACTAACTCTGGTGGCATGGAGCAGAACTGCGGTGGTCTTGTTCTTTAAGAAAAATAAAAACGCTCTGTTGAAGAACTTCAAACCGACTTCCCTTGTGCGCCACGTCTACGTGCTGTTTCCAAGAGTAACTATGAATCGTTTCGAACACAGACAAGACGACTTCCAGCCTCGCAGCAAGCCGAAACAAGCAAGATTATACAAACAGTGTGTGTTGCCAATAATGACATATGGATCTAGGACGTAGTTCTTCACTGCTGGCTGTACGAAGAAGCTCAAAGTCGCTCAGCGAGTTATGGAGAGGATTATTCTCCAGATTTCTCTGCGTGATAGACTTAGAAATAAGGATATTCGCAGTAGAATCAGAGTAACTTACATAGCCCAACGGATTAGTAAACTGAAGTGGCAATAGGATGACTATGTAGCTCGAAGAACTGACAAGCGACGAAGAAAAAAGGTTCTCGGGTGGCAACTGACAACCTCGTAACGGTAAGGGAATTTTAGGGTGGCCCCCCAATAGATGGAGCGACGACCTAATAAGATATGCAGGAAGTCGATGGATGCAAGGGGCTCAAGACCGTACTTTGGGTAATTCTTCTGGAGAAGCCTATGCTCGGCAGTGGACTTGTGAAGGGTTGTAATGATGATGATGATGATGAATAGACTGTATTGAAAGGGACCTTATAATTTATGTATGTGTGCGGAATATCTATTAAAATAACTTTATGTTTTGCTTTCGATACAAAAAGTTAGTTAATTATGTAAAAATTAAACGATATTTTTAAAATTAATTGAAGATCCATCATTGTTTTTACCTTGTTTACCTTAAAAGAACATAACAAGAAAATTTACTATCTATCTACCTACACATAATACAAACAGAAATCATTATTTTTATTTTTGTTTTCTTAAAGATAATTCAGTGTCAATATAATTATAGAGACATGAGAAAAACAATCCACTTTTAACCCTAGATTCATAAACTACATTTAGGGTTACATTGTTCATAATCATATGTCTCTGATACACCTTACTTTTAAAGTCACCTAATTTAATGATTACGGTAGATATTGAATAAAACTATGAATATTAGTTATAATGAACTTTTATTGAGGATTATAACGTAAAAAACAATTATAAAAAAAATCAATCCTAGCATTCTAGGTACAAATTACCGCGATGTTCCAAACACATATTACGTTTGCTACTGGTGCAGATAAATCTGGTCACACGTTTTTTTTTACAACAGCAGAAGTTACATAATTTCCTGGTTTGATTTTCGCGGATAGCTGGGACATCAGGAAAAGTATCGCCTAAAATGAAATCGATGTTCTGTTTTAGCCATCGCCTCAAAGTTGGTGTTTCGCGGCGTTGCCGTAACCAGGGTTCTATCATTTTATCTGACACTTCTTTGATAAACTGCCATAGTTGCGAAGGGATCTCGCGCTTGTTAGATCTAATTGAACCTACAATTGTTAATTTGTATGGATTCTGCAACAGTTCTTTTGCTAAAGACCAATTATTCATGGTCTCATTACGATTACTGCCTTGAATAGTTTCGGAAAGTTGCTTCACAAAGAAAGATACTAAGGGTTCTACATTTGTGTTTGTAAGGTACATCTTTCATCTGTTTCGTAGGTCGGGCATTATCCGATGAGTCATTAGAATTTATTCGACGTCGGCGACTAATATTTGATGCTCGAAGAGGTTCGTCATCAGAATCGCTTGAAGGATCTGTAGGTTCCTCACTATCTGTCTCTAAAATATCCTCAACTTCGCTGTCCAAATCATTTGGAGGAACCACTTCTTCCTCGTCTCCCACTTTGGATAGTATTGCATAAATGTCATCTTCATTCAAAGAAGCCATGCTGGAAAATAATACCATGCATATGCATACCAGTAAATAATAACAGTAATTAAAGAATTAATACCTAGTAAAATATTTTACTTATCAAATTTTAACCACGATAATGGATAGTAATTAATTACATAGAATATAATAGAATTAATACATACCTTTTTTTGAAAAATTCTTTGAAGTTCTTTCGTTTTATAAGACCAACAATAAAAGCATCTACTTTATAAATTTGTTACACTAATCATAAACATACGTATCTCAAACACCTCGGGCTTAGTATATCCAAAACTAATCATGTACGCGCCAAAACTACTGGCGCCGAAGTGAGCTCTCGTCGTTTTAGGAAGGTACTGAGACGTTTGTATTTCCACCTTTTTTCGCGCCACGCGCTGTAAGAGTTTTATTACTTGAGGGTGTATGAGAGACGTGTGTTTATGAATCTAGGGTTAAGATAATAATTATGATTCTTAATGTGTCGGTGTGCAAAGATAAAAAAAGTCATCTAAAGGTTTCATGCGCCCATTTTGAACAAATTTTACATTGATACCAATATTTTTCAATCTTTGTTACACACATTACACTAGTCAGCACATCACACAACAACAACATCTCTTATTTTATTTTCCGGTAGTGCCACGATATAATAATTTAGGAATAAGTACTCACTCAGTTACCAGTTATCAGTTTCAGAAATATAATTTATCGAGTTAGAATCGAATTTATCGAGTTAGAATCGAGCATTTGGCAACGAATCATTGCTGCTACTGTTGCTTATGAATTTCGGCTTAGTCTCTTTCTTCTTTTGTGTAGCTTTGGTGCCTATCTTTGATTCCCTTTTTTCGTTTTAAACCCTTTTCTTTGATTTGGTTTTGTTATTTATGTAAAATACGATGTATGAAAATTTGTGCCACATGTTTTAATTTTTTTGGGCGTATTCTGTTTTAAGGATATCCATTATGTTTTCTATAAGTCATCTATTTTTTTGCTAGGTATTCTGTTATAAATTGTGCTTATATCTTTACGGTTATATCTCGTAGTTTTTTTTTAAAATGGAGCTTAAGAATACGGTTTAATTATTTTCAGAGTTATTGGAAGGTTAGAAGAATTCGAAGCTCTAAGATTATCTTAATTCGGAATCGGAATATCCAATTTGTGGTTCACTTGAAGCAGAAAGATCTTATTCTTGATGTGCATTAAGATTGCCACACAACAAAGAAGTGTTGTTGCTAGAAGACTTTTATTTTGCCGATAATTTTAATTGTCTCTTTTAACGTGTTTCTTTCATGCCACCTCTTTTATAGTTATATAAGTTATCCATCAAATCTAAATAAAAATAAATTTTTGTTAGTTCGTATTTTATGTCTCTACTTTGTCAACTTATTACTTGTACTTGCGCAAAGGTTATAGTATATAGTTATATAGTTATAGCATAATACAGTTAACTTATAAAGGTACAATCCGTTATTTGCTTTCGCCTTTCGAGTGGTAAAGGATAGAATTTCTACATTTGTCGTAATAGAGCTTAGAGTTCTAGTGGTTGTTTACTCGGTAGCAAAGGTGTTTAATGAATTTCATCTGGATACGTTCGATTCGAGCTATATAGGTATTATATTGGGGGCTCCATACCTATGATGCATATTCCAAAATACTTCTTGCGTAGCAACAGTACAAAATTTTCTTAAACTTACACTAGGTGGCGCGCGCATCGTACCGACAATTTATTTGGAAGTTAGATAGATCATTCAATTTCAATAATTGTATTATCATTCTTAATTATACATGACTCTTCCAAATTTAAGACGATATTCCGACAATTACTACTTCTGCGGTAGCAATGCGTTCAGTACCAGTTAGTAAATAATAAATATAAAAATGAAAATACATCAAACTATTTTATTAAAAAAAGTGTAATTATTAAATTGTTTATTTTGCATTTTAGTGAATACATTTTATCTGAGGATTCTAAATTTGGCCTTTAGTGTCATAAGAATATATATCTCATTTTGATATATGATTTAAATATTAACTATTCAGTAACATTAGTAATGTAAAATAATTTCAACTTTGACTCGTCACTAAAGCAGTAATTCTCTAATGGAGCCCTACATTAATACACGCAGCTGCTCCTCTGTTCTAATTGTATATGGCAGTTAAACATATTAGACTAATTTACAAGAGATTTAAACACAAGGTACAGTTAATACGTTTACCTATTTTGATGAAATCAATAGGGTTAGGTATATAATCTTTTTAATCTGGCACAGTATTTCATTACTCTTTTCCCTAAGTATCCTTTTACTGAGCAGTATTGGATTCAAGCCATTTTGCTCCCGGGAATGGTTGTACTCATTGTATACGTACGTTATGAATATCAATGCAATGTTTTATAGCAAGTTGAACTTACATAACGCTAAAAGTAATCAAAAAATATATGACTGAATGTTGAGCATTATTCAAGTTATTAAAATTAACTAAATTTAGTACATAAGGTATTACATTACATTAAAAATATTATAACATTTCAAGGAATAAACACAAAAGAAATTTGAATGTATTTTTAACATACACAATGTCATAGGGATAAAAGTTAAATAATGATTTAATTAAATAAAGAACATTTATTTACGCGAACACTACACATTAAATGAAACTACATAATTATACGGATTGTATTTTTTTGCTCTACCGACGTTTCAGGTGATTTACAGCACCCACAGCCAGGGGGGGGGGTGAGGTGTTTGACGTTCTAATGCTATAGTTAGCCCGGCTACATTCAGGTTTTGAATATCAATTTTTGATCCGACCTGCACAGAATAAGCTTACAGCAAGCACCAAATAATTATGCTTTTAAAAGAATTGCTTAACAGACGCATAACTTAACAGACACATAATCATTTTGTATGTACTAATTATATTTGTATTTAAATATGTACATTTGTATGTATATGCACGTATTTATATATTTGTATATATTTGAAGTATTGCAGTGGTATGCTTGGGTTTGGATTGAATTTTATTAATTTTGTGATCCCAAGCCGATGATAGCACCCATCCTTTTCCTCTATTATATATATATAAAATAGGAAATTAACATAGTAATGTATAGTAAAATTCTTATCATAAGAGTAAATTTTACTACCTCTCCTCTTTTCATGATAGTGATCTTTCATGATGATGATCCTTCTCTTGGGACGTTCTTCTAACGACAAAATCTATTTCTGTTCACTGCACCGATTCTTTGGTAACTCCTTCACTGTTCAGGCTACACGCCTTTGGAATTCCTTGCCCGATGGCATCAGAAAAGCACCTAATAAGTACACTTTAAAAAGTTTTTCCGTAGCCGTAAACGACGCCTCGGAGGGACCCTCCACCTCCCATGGCCCCACCAACCTCACGGTTATACGGGCCGAATCTCGAGAGATGCACGCGGTACTTGCTCTGGGCTCTTTCCCGCGTGCACTTTCTTGACTCTCTACAAGTTATTTAATCTGTTCCTGTCCCTTGTATTCCACTCTCCCCTTCTGGGCTGGACAAATACACCACGCCTTCGGTTCCGGGCAGAGCACTCCTTTGCTTCTCCATAGCAGTTCTTCTGACATGCCATCCGTGCGAAAACTCCCGCAGCCGGCCAAAGCTGTCCTTACCGTCCACGAGGTCCGGGTAGTAAACCGGACCCACAGTTCTGCGTACCATTCCGTCAATCATCTTACATCTGAGGTCGTCATACAGTACACACTCCCATAGTACGTGATGCCTTTCCTCATAGGCAGCACCGCAATCATACATACCCGATTCAACCAGTTTCATCTCACACAGTCTCTTACGAAAACAACCATGCCCACTGAGCATCTGCGAGACTTGGTAGTCCGGCACAACTCAACTTGCGTTGAGCCGCGCCGACACATCCGGGAAGAAACAGAAAAGCTCCCTTTCATTCGTCTCATTCTCCCATCTCTCTTGCCATGCGTTCATAACGTCCGCCCAGATCTCGCGCTTTGCCTGCTCAACTCCCCATTTTCTGCTTCAGCACGCGCAAGATCGATCCTACCAGCACGTGTCACCTCCAGATCAGCCGGAAGGACGCCAGCTAATACCGGAAGTGCCGCAGTGCTGATCGTCCTGTAGCCATTAGTCAACAAAACGAGTGAAGACCTCTGTGATCTGAGCAGTGACGTACGCACCGTATAATTCCTTACCCGATTTACCCAAACTGCGGCTGCATAAGTTACTACGGGAACATATGTTCCATAGTACAGAACACGAAGAGCCGGGTAACGAATGCCCCAGGAAGACGCCGACACCCGCGACATCTTTCCGAAGCATCTCCCGGCTCTATCTCCCATGTCTTTCGCATGCTTAATAAATGACTGACTATTGTCTAGCGTAACGCCCAATACTTTAGTCGACTCTACGCTTTTTATTGAATTGCTTCCCATCCTGATTACAAGTGGTCGCAAGAACCTGCCCTTGAGGGTCATTGTGCATGACTTTGTGGAGGAAAAGGAGAGACGATTCCTTTCCCCCCATGACTCAACCAGCTCCAGTGCAGACTTGACCGTTTTCTCTATGTCAGCCCTAGAATTCGCCTCTATCAATAGCGTTACATCAACTGCATACGCTAACATCTTCGCATTGGTAGGGAACGGCAGCCTCAACAGATCGTCCAGCAGTAAATTCCATAGGGTCGGTCCTAGAACCGATCCTTGCGGACAGCCCATGGTCGAGCGTTTCCATTCAACGCATTCGCCGACAAAGATACCCACCCGTCTGTTGGTAAAATAATCTACCAACATCTGATAGATGTTGGGTGCGATCCCTCCCTGTTTGGCCTTCAAGAGTATCATCGGCCACCATGCATTGTCAAAAGCCCCGGATATATCTAAAAAGACGGCCTGTACATACTTGCGCTGCGACTCGCTCGCAGTACGAAGCACGTCTTGCAGCGCTGTGACAGTAGACCGACCTGGCGAAAACCCATGCTGGTAGTCGGATATACCCCTCATTAAACTTGGGGCACACCTATTTCGGAATTACTACCAACCGTCCATTCTTCCATACGTCCGGGAAAACTCCCTCTTCCACACATTTGCTATACACCCAGTGAACTTCCCTGGATGCAGCCCTCCATACATTCTTTAGCACTTTTGCACTAATCCCGTCCAGTCCCGGAGAAGCCTCGGAGGGACCGTTTACTCAGAAAGTCCTTTACCGGTCAATCAGACCAGGGGATAAGCCTTACGCTGGAAGCTTGCCCAAAAGGCTAGCGTGCTGGGCCGCATCAAAGTGATTTCCCACTGCTGCTGAGAGGCATACGTTAAAAGGTCCCAGTCAACCAATTTTGACGAAATACTCCTTTCTAGATATGCTATGTGGTGGGCGATCAGTACTTTTGGATTTGGTCGATAGTTGGCAGAGTCGGCAAGGCCGCACTTTTAAGGCAAGGCTGCACATTGGCTAGTTTCCAAGATTTAGGCACTATACCACACCTAAATTATAATTAGCTGTTCGCTTTTTTATATTTATTTTGTACCTATCTGCATTGTAAAACTATTTATTTTTCATTGGAAGTGTATTATTAAGTCTAGTCATAAGATTACCTATACATAATGTTTATTTTGAGTATTAAGTGCTAATTTGTTAAGAAATGGCCAATATCTCTTTCTAAATAAGAGGACGTCTCAACACAGGAGACAACTCAAGCGCACGCGCCTTTAGGACTATAGCTGGTATATATCATCTGGTCTACTAACTTTGTTCACGTCTAGACTTCGCAAGATTTTAAGAACTTTGTTTTTGATGCAGACATCTGACATAGAGGTACCGCAGGGATCGCGAAAGCTTCTAACTAACGAGCGAATCAACTCTCTGCTTACTACAATAACTATACAACTTATTTTACAATGTAGTTCTATCTAATAAATAAAAATTTATTTTGTGCTGCCATGTAGTTCATCAAATAGCGCTAAAACTTTGTCAACTTATTTCTTGCACTTGCGCGAAGGATATAGATATAGTATAATTAAATTACAGTATGCGGCGCGCGTATCGTATTGACAAATTTATTTCAAAGTCATTTATCATTCAATTTTAATGAATGTTTGACATCCGTCATTAAACATTATAAAATCTTACAAATTTTAAACATTTCCACAATTATTTCTTCTGCGGTAGCAATGCGACGGGTACCAGCTAGTATATGTAATAAAAAAGTGGCACGGAATAAGAAAAACATAGAAGAAGATGAATGGACAACGAGCTCGTTTTTAAACACCACAGCCTGTCACAAATGAAAGTATTACCAGTAGTTGAAAGATTTTAAACATTAATTTCCGTTTATCACATACTCAGTAATGAAAGCAAAAATAACGTAGAGAACTTGAATTTTTGAGAAACACAAAAAAAATCGAAGATATTTATTTGGTTTATCGACGTTTTTATTAGCTTGATTCATGCATGCAACCTTTCTAATGAGAAGAGATGGACACCTTAGTAGTTGGGCTTCGCTTATTTAACGTGGAACCGTTACCGTTAGAGCCTACTAAACTCCACGTATTAATAGAAGCCTTCCATAGCTTGCCTCATAGGGGAAATATAGGTGGAAATGACGAAGAATTTTGTGAAAGACTTTAGCCGTTAGGAGACGCTGCTGGCCATCTCCTGATTTGTTCCCCTCTGTCGCCTCTTACGACACCCACGAGACGATATGGGGTAGTGGATATTTACACCGCCACTACGGTAATTACATGGTATTACACGGCTATTTAACGTGAAACATGTAATGGATTTTGCAAATAAATTATAATTATTTGCATAAATAGATTTCCAAGAATTATTTTTCTGCTTACCTGTAATTTACCGTTTTTGTTAACAGCTTGATAGGACCTAGTAATAAGTACTTTCGCATTGTTGACGTATATGTCATCGTGCATAGTATCTCGCCGTCTTGTCACCCAAAGTGGAGGATTCCCATCTAGTTCTGACGAAATAGAGTAGTCTAAATTGTTAAGTGTCGTTGCAAGATTAGCTGCAAACAAAATGAATTTGTGTAATAAGACAACCTAATCTACGACGTTACAAATACAATGTGTAGTTTGTGATAATGCATATACCACCAAATACTCTCTATATTTAAATGATATATTTTGTTTATAAAAGTATTTAAATACATTTAAAAATAATGAAAATAAACATTTAAACAAACGATAATGGATATGTAGCTTAGCTCTTAGGTTCTTTCAAAATCCAGTACAACAAAACGTTGAGAATTTTAAATCTGGATATCATAAGAGGCGACTATGAAAAATGCTAGAAAAATAATATAGTTTTTGTTATATGGCAGTAATATACTACCTTGTTTACGTCAAGGAAGTTATTTGTATTAATTTATTATATTAATTATTAGTATTTGTTGATTTAATATCGATAGATTGATAGATGATATACTACCGCCATCTCTTGGAAACTCATAATCACTTTATGAGTTTCCGATAGATGGCGGTAGTACATCGTCTACGCCAGACGTTAAATTAATATCCAGAGCAGCGATAGGCAACACAATATGGTAATTGTTAGACGAGACAAGACTTATGGTCCTACGATCGTGAATCCTCCTGCCGAGCATAACAATTATGACAAATTCTCCTTAGAACGGGAGAGGCTGATTACAGTAGTGGCTACGTATAGCAGTGGTAGATGGCAGATGGCACTTCTACTGCCATCTACTAGTGGACATCGGATTGTTTTAGTATTTCCCAATAAACTCTTTTACGACACCCTCGGGATGAAATGTGGTAGTAGATTCACTTGCACTGACATCATTTAATATTTTAAATTAAAATACGTTACATTCGTCAGTTTAGTAATTCATAAAACATTATAAAAATAACTTACATATGTGATATAGCACCAGGTTGTCATCCATTTCACCGTTATATCTCTGAAATGCTTCGTTAGTAGGTGCAAATATAGTCAGCTGCCGGTATTGTAAGCTCATATTGGCCACCATATTCCGATCCAATAGCGCAAGAAACTGAAACAAACATATTAAAATATTATTATAACATCAATTAATTGTAATGATTTCTTATATTTAGTGTACGAAACTAATTTTACGGATTTTATCGCGTTTTATTTTTTTTAATACACGACGTTTCGGTGCTTTCCAACACCCATGGTCACGGGGGAATGAGGTGACTGACGTCTCGATGTCAAAGTTAAACCAGAGTACCTTCAGCTTTTTAATTATTGTCCTTGGTCCGATCTACGCAGAATGAACTGTGTTTTGAAGTTTAATCAATTAATTAATTGTTATTTATTTAGTAACAGTCTGTATACTTATACGCCTCACTGCTGCACAAAGGTTTCCCCTTATTTCTTGAGAGGGTTTTTATGGCAACGAATTGTTCGCCACGTTTCATATTGGCGAACTTTCGATGTTTTTTTTTACTATTCTCAGCCAACGCTCAACTACAAGACCACTTAATAGTAATAAGATAGATAACACTACTAGCTGTAGACCGTATTTCAAACAACTAAATATTCTTACCTTACCCTGTATGTACATTTATGATCTATGCCTGTTTGTCCACAAAAATAATAATAGTTTTAAGAAAATTAAAGATACGCATAACTTAAATACACGTAACAAAAATAAATTATACCTACCACAGTCGCGAACAAAAATGTTAAATACAAGCCCCTACTATATGGCAATAAAAGTATATAATAAATTACCACAGGAAATAAAAAATATATCAGAATTAACCAAATTTAAATCAAGACTCGGTAAATATTTAAAACAAAACCCCTTCTACTCAGTAGAAGAGTATTTAGATAAAAAATAACACTATTATATATTTTTATATCTTTTTATAGCTTTTAATTTTATTTTATTTTATGTATATGTTAATAGTATACAAGCAGTGCCCTTGTCAAATTTGCAGGCCTGAAAAGAGCGTCTAAGTTGTAAGCACATTTTTAATTTAATACCAATTATGTACACTTAGATTGCAAATAAATGATTTGATTTAATTTGATTTAATATGTGATGTAGTGTAAGATAATGAAGCGCACTGACTTAACAAAAGCCTATTCACACTTTAAAAATACCCACGTTGTAATCGGACGGCAGGACAGATACTGGTAACTTATTCCACTCCTTTGCTATACGCATGAAGAACCATATAGCAAGCTGTTTATTTCGAATGCATGGTAAGTCAACAAGGAAATGGTTGATACTGGCCGAAAATTTAGTTGCCCGTTGGTGAAAGGGAGAGGGAGGAATTAAATAAGGCAATTCCTGCGCACACTCCAAAATACATCCCGTAGAAAACCGAAAGGATGGTAAATTTGCGCCTGTGTTCCATGCTAGTTAAATTGGTTTTAACCAGATTCGGGTCACCAATAACCCTCTTAGCAAGCTTTTCCATTCAGTTGAAAGCTGCTAGGTAGCATTTTGCAGCACCAGCCTATATAAGGCAGCAATGCTCCAATCACACCGGACTTACGCTTTATATAGAGTAAGCAGCTGTCCCGATGTCTAGTACTGCCGCACCTTTGCAAAGACTCCTAGCTTCCGTGCAGCTGCCTTACGACTTACAACTTAACGAACTGACTGAAATTAAGGTTTGAGGTTATTTCAACCCCCAACAAATAAAGACGAACAGTGTAATGGAAATAAGCCAAGGTAAGCTGGCTCCTTTTTGCAGTAAAGAAACACGCTTAAGTTTTGGGAGGCGTTGAATGTCACAAGATTATCATCGCCCCCTTTTGAAACTGCATATAGTGTGAGATTCATACGCTCAACCATAGATTCTCTTTTGGACTGGATTTGATCCCGAATGACCCGAGCACTTGATGGGTATCTCTCCACAACTATGCTGTCATCTGCATACTCATAGATACCGGGCATAAGCAGATCGTGTTTGTACGTGGTAGAGCCACGTTGCAGTTATATTACGGTTGTAGTACGAATGGGTCGGCTCGGCCGGAGTAGGACCACGCTCTCACAGAATACCAGCGCGAAATAGTATTTCTATTTACCATCAGGTGGACTGTGTGCTTATTTGTCATCCTATGTTCTGTTTAAAAAAATATATGCAACAAGAAAATAGTTGCAGAAAGAACGGACACCTGAAAAACACCGGCGTTAGTTGCCATAGGATCGGATGAAAAGCCATCGACGACGACTCAGGGAGACCATTCACTCAGAAAACATTTTACCCAGTTAAAGCCTTGCGTTGGAAGCTTATCTAAAAGGCTTGCGTGTCAAACTCTGTCAAAGGCTTTCGAGACATCAAGGGAAACAGCCAGTGTTTCCATACTGTTTTCGGATGCCTCGCCCCATACGTGCGTAGAAGATCCTCAGCTGACGGATTTCGACGAAACCCGTACTGGCGTCCACTGAGGAGGTCATTCTATTCTAGGCTTGTCACGAGGCGGGCGTTCAATATACACTCCATAATCTTGCAGAGTGTGGAAGTAATTGAGATTGCCCGATAATTGGCAGGGTCGGCACGGCTGCCTTTTTTTTAGAACGGGCTGTATGTTCGTCAGCTTCCAGAATTTTGTCAATATTGCAGTCCTAAATGAGAGGTGAAACAAGCGTGTTAGCACAGGAGATAACAGAAGTCCACAAGCCTTTAAAACTATAGCCGATATACCATCTTGTCCACAAGCTTTATTCATTATAGAGGTCACGCAGTGAGGTAATTCAAGTGAAACGTTGTTGCCACTGACCAGACGTGAATTGAAGACAATGCGAGACGAGAAAAAGTCCGCTTTCTCTTTAGCCCTATGCGCCAGTGTACATCTCGCAGAGAGTTTAGCGTTAATATGTTTAATGCATTCGAGACTGGCTTTCCGTAACGGGTTTTGTAGGAATTAGCGGCGTGGTTGAAAGTACTATTCATGGAGCTGATATCCAGAGTTTAGTGGTCTCGAGCAACTCATAAACACGATAAATGCTTGCACTTTTCAGCTTGGCCGCATTTATCGTTAAACCATGGGTGAGCTTTGCTATCGGTGGGAACTTCAGAAAATGGGATAAAATACTCCATCGCTTGACGCAACACATAGACTATCACATCCGCTAGCTCGACGGATCTGCAGAAAAGAAAGACCTCCCACCAACGATAGTACTCAAAAAAGTGTCGCATCTCATCCCAATCTGCCATATTCGTCGAACACATTGGGAGTCGTAATCTGGTGGAAAATATGACGATACATATTCTATTCAGTCTTCAAATCTTTTTATAAATTTCTCAGACCTGCAGGTTTCTGACCGAGCCCGTCAAATTCAACATTAAAAATTACAATTAACAACTTTATTGGTGCCAGTAGGAATAAAACCTGGGGTGCTCACATAATTTGACGTCATATATGTAACCAAAAATATGTAGATTCATATATTATGTATAAGTTTTATCCTCAAATATTACATTAGATTTGGAAAGCTGTCTTCCATCAAGGGTTATTTAGTAAAATCTTTTAAAGTTACAGCCTATACGTCCATACGTCCCACTGCTGGGCACAGGTCTCCCCTCATTTCTGAGAGGGTTTTAGGGCAAGGAAGTGTCCGCCGTGTTGCCATAATGCATGTTGGCGAACTACACATGTCTTTGAAATATTTTTTTTCTTATTCCTCAGACATATAGGTTTCCTCACCATGTTTTCCTTCACCGCCGAGCACATCGTAAATCAGCACTTAAAATTGCAACTAACAATTTTATTTTTGCCGGCGGGGGATCGAACCCGCGTTACTCGCGTTCTGTTATATTTACAGCGAGCTTTAACCATCTGAGCTACCACGGCTCTAGTAAAATCTTACTATCAGAAAATCAAAAACAAAAGAGAGGGTGATGTAGAATCTAACAATAGCCCGACATTCACCTTCGTATTATTATTATATTACTAGGGGATTATTACTTAGCCTTTAACATTTAGTATGATGGAAGTACTTCGAGAAATTTTAAAAAGAAAAAAATTGGAAAACCTATCATTAACATATAATAACATAGCTAATAAGGCTTCCATAAACTTTTTTGCTGTTTTCCAATTACTATTAATACCATATTCCAACTACCATAAACAATGTTAGTTACATTATTTGTGGGATGAGAATATTAATTTCAATACACGTAACATTTTCCTGCAGTGCAGTATAACAAAACATAAACATCGCTCTCAGCATATTTTTTTCGTTGCTAAGCTTATACCTATTAATAAGAACTTAGAATATGCTTTTAATTTTAAAAGTTTTCGTGGCAATCATTTTACGACTGTTTGACTTTAAGAAACCCTAGTCAAGTGTCCAGCTCCGGAGATTGTTGTTCGTTGTTGATAATGATTCCGGCAGAGATTTGAAGGCAGGAGATACTGTTTAATTGTCATAAATAGTCATATTATGTTATTAGTCATAAATAAGGAAATTTATAAAGAAAATGTCTTACGAGAAATACCTTAACGCTTTGTGAAATATTTACTGGGTATTATATTATTTAATGATTGAAACCATTATCAATCATTTATTTTAAAATCAAAAATTACTCTATACTAGAAGATATATTACCGTCTGAAAAAAAAATAGGGTGTTACAGGTGAACGGAATAGAAGCCAACAGCACTGATATTTTACAAAAAAAAAATATTTTACATTTACATATGAAAATGATCTAATAATAAATACTACTAAATTGGTATATTTTATATTAATTTTGATAGTTTTTAATTGCTTTATTTATTTAGTTCAAAAATTTTGTTGTTGTTTTTTTTAACACCAAAAGCTTATTTCGAATTAGTAGTTCATATAAACAAAATTAAGTGTCTATCTGTAATATTGAAATATTTTAGTTCTATTAAGCTTAGAGGCATATTTGGAGCATCCATTAAGACATAAATAACTATTTTTTACATTTTGTTTTTCCGTCTGTGTTTGTCCAAGCTAATATTCGGAATGCCTAAGCAAATAGTGATGAAAATATACGAACAGATAGTAAGCAATTAATATAAAATGTGGTAGAGCCATGCTGCT